GGGCGCGGCACGGGCTAGAGAAGAGATGGAGTGACGTGGAGCTGAGTGGACTTGCCGATGACTGGTACCAGCGGTGTCAAGATCGGCCTCTGTGGAGGAGGCTCGTGAAGGATGCTACTGGGCAGTTGGAGGCAGTCGCCCTCCAACAACAACGGAGGGCGGAGGAGCGACGCTCAGAACAACGAGCGGAGCGCCGGGTGGCTAAAGCACAGCAGGTTGGCACAGTAGGGGGCACAGGTGGTGCATCAGCCAGTCATCTCAGTCGACCCGTGGCACCTGGGTCTGCCCCGTGACCTCCTGCCAGCGGGCGTTCGACACTTCACGTGGCCTCAGGGTGCACATAGCCTGGCACAAGCGTCGTGGTGACGTCACCGCCACTTAGTGGCGAATGGCGGTTGTTGTTGTTGTGTCTCTGTGTGTGTCTGTGTCTCTGTGTGTGTCTGTCTGTGTGTGTCTGTGTGTGTGTCTGTGTTTGTCTCTGTGTGAGTAGGTGAGTGAGTGAATGGGTAGGTGAGTGGGTGAGTGAGTAGGTGAGTGTATGAGTGAGTGAATGGGTGAGGTGAGTGTATGAGTGAATGAATGGGTGAGTGAGTGGGCGAGTGAGCGAGCGAGTGAGTGAGTCTGCGTGTGCCGCTGGGGTGAAACAAAGACGGTCGGGCAGTTGCCCCCTCCAGCACTGTGCGAGGCTACCTGGGGGACCTTTGTCTGTGTCTTTGCAGAGGACCAAGCAAGTCTGAGGTTCCAGGTGGAGCTTGAAATGGTGCAGTGCCTCGCTAATCCCTACTACCTTAACTGTGAGCTCCACCTTTCATCCATACTTCACCACTGTTAGCACCACCTTTCGTCCATACTACACTACAGTCACACTGTGAGTCTACCCCTAACCCACACTCTCCCGTCTCTCCCCCCGTGTCTCTCCCCCCGTGTCTCTCCTCCCGTGTCTCTCCCCGTGTCTCTCCCCCATCTCTCCCCGTATCTCCCCGTGTCTCCCCCCGTGTCTCCCCGTGTCTCTCCCCGTGTCTCCCCGTGTCTCCCCCCGTGTCTCCCCATATCTCCCCGTCTCTCCCCGTGTCTCCCCCCGTGTCTCCCCCCGTGTCTCTCCCCGTGTCTCTCCCCCATCTCTCCCCGTGTCTCCCCCGTGTCTCCCCCGTGTCTCCCCGTGTCTCCCCCCTGTCTCCCCCCGTGTCTCTCCCCATATCTCCCCGTCTCTCCCCGTGTCTCCCCGTGTCTCCCCCCGTGTCTCTCCCCGTGTCTCTCCCCCATCTCTCCCCCATCTCTCCCCGTCTCTCCCCATCTCTCCCCGTCTCTCCCCGTATCTCCCCATGTCTCCCCGTGTCTCCCCCGTCTCTCCCCGTGTCTCACCGTGTCTCCCCCCGTGTCTCCCCCCGTCTCTCCCCCGTGTCTCCCCCGTGTCTCTCCGTGTCTCACCCCGTGTCTCTCCCCATATCTCCCCGTCTCTCCCCGTGTCTCTCCCCCATCTCTCCCCCATCTCTCCCCCATCTCTCCCCGTCTCTCCCCGTGTCTCCCCGTGTCTCCCCCGTCTCTCCCCGTGTCTCCCCCCGTGTCTCCCCCCGTGTCTCCCCACAGTTCTGGCACAGAGAGGGTATTTCAAGGAGCGTGTTTTCATCAACTACCTCAAGTACCTCCTCTACTGGAAGGAGCCAGCGTATGCCAAGTTCCTCAAGTAATAAGCTGGCTACCTGCAACTACTCCACCTTCACCACCACCACCACCTCCACCTACTCCACCTTCACCACCTCCACCTACTCCACCTCCACCACCTCCACCTACTCCACCACCACCTCCACCTACTCCACCTTCACCACCACCACCTCCACCTACTCCACCTTCACCACCACCACCTCCACCTACTCCACCTTCACCACCACCACCTCCACCTACTCCACCTTCACCACCACCTCCACCTACTCCACCTCCACCTACTCCACCTTCACCACCACCACCACTACTTCCACCGCCACCACTACTCCACCTTCACCACCACTACCTCCACCGCCACCACCTCCACCACCTCCACCTACTCCACCTTCACCACCACCACCACCACCACTACCTCCACCTACTCCACCTTCACCACCACCACCTCCACCTTCACCACCTTCACCACTACCTCCACCGCCACCACCACCACCTCCACCACCTCCACCGCCACCACCTCCACCTACTCCACCTTCACCACCACCACCACTAACTCCACCACCACCACCTTCACCACTACCTCCACCTCCACCACCTCCACCACCTTCACCACCACCACCTTCACCTTTACCGCCACCACCTTCACCACCTTCACCACTACCTCCACCGCCACCACCTCCACCACCACCACCTTCATCACTACCTCCACCGCCACCACCACCACCTCCACCGCCACCACCACCACCTCCACCGCCACTACCTCCACCGCCACCACCTCCACCACCTCCACCTACTCCACCTTCACCACCACCACCACTACCTCCACCTACTCCACCTTCACCACCACCGCCACCACCACCACCTCCACCACCTCCACCGCCACCACCTCCACCTACTCCACCTTCACCACCACTAACTCCACCATCACCACCTTCACCACCTTCACCACTACCTCCACCACCTCCACCACCTTCACCACCACCACCACCTTCACCTTCACCACCACCACTACCTCCACCGCCACCACCTTCACCACCTTCACCACTACCTCCACCGCCACCACCTCCACCACCACCACCTTCACCACTACCTCCACCGCCACCACCACCACCTCCACCGCCACCACCTCCACCGCCACCACCTCCACCTACTCCACCTTCACCACCACCACCACTAACTCCACCGCCACCACCTTCACCACCTTCACCACTACCTCCACCTCCACCACCTCCACCACCTTCACCACCACCACCTTCACCTTCACCACCACCACTACCTCCACCGCCACCACCTTCACCACTACCTCCACCGCCACCACCACCACCACCACCTTCACCACTACTTCCACCGCCACCACTACTCCACCTTCACCACCACTACCTCCACCGCCACCACCTCCACCACCTCCACCTACTCCACCTTCACCACCACCACCACTACCTCCACCTACTCCACCTTCACCACCTTCACCACTACCTCCACCTCCACCACCTCCACCACCTTCACCACCACCACCACCACCTTCACCTTCACCACCATCACCACCTTCACCACCACCACCACCACCACCTCCCACCTACTCCACCTCCACCACCTCCACCACCTTCACCACCTTCACCACCACCACTACCTCCACCGCCACCACCTTCACCACCTTCACCACTACCTCCACCGCCACCACCTCCACCACCACCACCTTCACCACTACCTCCACCGCCACCACCACCTTCACCACCACCACCACCACCTTCACCACCACCACCTTCACAACCACCACCTTCACCACCACCACCACCTTCACCACCACCACCTTCACCACCTCCACCGCCACCACCTCCACGACCACCTCCTCCTCCATCACCTCCTCCTCCATCACCACCACCAACAACAACCGCCATTTGCCACTAAGTGGCGGTGACGTAATCACGACGCTTGTGCCAGGCTATGTGCACATTGAGGCCACCACCACCACCACTACCACCTCCACCACCTCCTCCCCTTCCACCACCACCTCCACTACCACCACTACCACCACCACCTCCACCACCTCCACCACTACCACCACTACCACCACTACCACCTTCACTCCCTCCACCACCACCACCTCCACCACCTCCACCACCACCTCCACCACCTCCACCACCACCTCCTCCACCACCACCTTCACTCCCTCCACCACCATCTCCACCACCATCACCTCCTCCTCCACCACCTCCTCCACCACCTCCACCACCACCTCCACCACCACCTCCCCCACCGCCACCACCTCCACCGCCACCACCTCCACCACCATCACCTCCTCCTCCACCACCTCCTCCACCACCACCTCCACCACCACCACTACCACCACCACTACCACCACCACCACTACCACCATCACCTCCACCACCACCTCCACCACCTCCCCCACCACCTCCACCACCTCCACCACCTCCACCACCACCACCTCCTCCATAACCACCACCACCTCCCCCACCACCTCCACCACCACCTCCACCACCACCACCACCACCTTCTCCATAACCTCCCCCACCACCACCTCCCCCACCACCACCACGTCCACCACCACCTCCACCACCATCACCTCCTCCTCCCCCTTCACCACCACCTCCTCCCCCTCCACCACCACCTCCACTACCACCACTACCACCACCTCCCCCTCCCCCACCACCTCCACCTCCCCCACCACCTCCACCTCCCCCACCACCACCTCCACCACCATCACCTCCTCCATAACCTCCCCCACCACCACCTCCCCCACCACCACCACCACCACCCCTACCACCACCACCCCTACCACCACCCATACCACCACCTCCTCTTCCACCACCACCATCACCTCCACCATGACCTCCACAACCACCACCACCTCCACCACCACCACCTCCACCACCACTACCACTACCACCACTACCACTACCACCTCCACCACCTCCTCCCCCTCCACCGCCACCACCACCACCTCCACCACCACTACCACCACCACCTCCCCCACCACCACCACCACCACCACCTCTATCACCACCACCACCATAACCTCCCCCCCCCCCCCCGCCAGGTATCCCCAGGCTCTCCACATGCTGGAGCTGCTCCAGTACGAGCACCTGCGCAAGGAGCTGGCCACCTCGCAGTGCTCCAAGTTCATGGACGAGCAGCAGCTGTTGCATTGGCAGCACTACACACGGCGGAGAGTTCGCTTGCAGCACGCCCTCGCCGCCGAGCAGAGTCAGCAGCAGCAGCAGCAGAGTCAGCAGCAGCAGCAGAATCAGCAGCAGCAGCAGCAGAATCAGCAGCAGCAGAATCAGCAGCAGCAGCAGAATCAGCAGCAGCAGAATCAGCAGCAGCAGAATCAGCAGCAGCAGCAGCAGAATCAGCAGCAGCATGGGGCTGGGAAGTGATTGGATGTTGTTGTTGGTAGCGGAATCAGCAGCAGCAGAATCAGCAGCAGCAGAATCAGCAGCAGCAGCAGAATCAGCAGCAGCAGAATCAGCAGCAGCAGAATCAGCAGCAGCAGAATCAGCAGCAGCAGCAGCAGCAGCAGCAGAATCAGCAGCAGCATGGGGCTGGGAAGTGATTGGATGTTGTTGTTGGTAGCGGAATCAGCAGCGGAATCAGCAGCAGCAGAAACAGCAGCAGCAGAATCAGCAGCAGCAGAATCAGCAGCAGAATCAGCAGCAGCAGAATCAGCAGCAGCAGAATCAGCAGCAGCAGAATCAGCAGCAGCATGGGGTGAAGGGGGTTGCAGTTGGACCGAACCAACTGAATGGGGGGGGGGGGGGGGGGGGGGGGTTGCAGTTGGAGCATACCAACTGAACATGAACGTGATGGGGGGGGGGGTTGAAGGGGGTTGCAGTTGGAGCATACCAACTGAACATGAACGTGATGGAGGGGGTTGAAGGGGGTTGCAGTTGGAGCATACCAACTGAACATGAACGTGATGGGGGGGGGGGGTTGAAGGGGGTTGCAGTTGGAGCGTACCAACTGAACATGAAAGTGATGGGGGGGGGGGGGTTGAAGGGGGTTGCAGTTGGACCATACCAACTGAACATGAACGTGATGGAGGGGGGTTGAAGGGGGTTGCAGTTGGAGCATACCAACTGAACATGAACGTGATGGGGGGGGGGGAGTTTGAAGAGGGTTGCAGTTGGAGCATACCAACTGAACATGAACGTGATGGGGGGGGGGGGGGGGGGGGTTGAAGGGGGTTGCAGTTGGACCGTACCAACTGAACATGAACGTGATGGGGGGGTTGAAGGGGGCTGCAGTTGGACCGTACCAACTGAACATGAAAGTGATGGGGGGGGTTGAAGGGGGTTGCAGTTGGAGCATACCAACTGAACATGAACGTGATGGTGTGGGGGGGTGTTGAAGGGGGTTGCAGTTGGACCGTACCAACTGAACATGAACGTGATGGGGGGGGGGGGGGGTTGAAGGGGGTTGCAGTTGGACCGTACCAACTGAACGTGATGGGGGGGTTGAAGGGGGCTGCAGTTGGACCGTACCAACTGAACGGGGAGGTGGGGGGGAAGGTGGAATGGGGGGCCGCAGTTGGACCGCACCAACTGAACCAGGGATGGAAGGGGGCTGCATTTGGACTGTACCATCTGTGATGGGGGCGGTGGAGGGGGCTGCAGTTGGACCGAACCAACTGGAGAGAGGGAGGGGGGGGGCGCCATTGGGACTCGAGCATTGATCAATAAATTATTGCGCGATGGTTCACAGATGTTCCCGGCTCTTTCGTTGTACACAACGCAGCAGCAGCGGCGGCGGCAGCGTGCGTGCGTGCACCTAGCCTGGCACAAGCGGCCGGTGACTTGAACCGCCGGGTCGGCTGCTTTTTGGGGCGTCCCGGTGGTGAAATCCCTCGCCCGGTACGCTGGAGGTCGTGGGTTCGATGCCCGGACCCTGGCCGTGACCTCCTCCCGCCGGCAGGAGGTCACGGGGCAGACCCAGCAAGGTTGCCAACGGGAGACGCCCCACCGGTGCGCCGCCTGTGCCAACTCTGCCGTGCCAGGCTAGGTGCACCGGGAGGGCCACGGGGCAGACCCAGCAAGGTGCCGCGGTGCCACTGCCGTGCGAACGTCGCGATACCCTCCCGGCCCCCGCACTGAACGCACAACCTGCACGCAGCGCACACACACGGTGAACACACACACGGTGAACACACACACACGGTGAACACACACACGGTGAACACACACACACACGGTGAACACACACACGGTGAACACACACACACGGTGAACACACACACGGTGAACACACACACACGGTGAACACACACACGGTGAACACACACACACGGTGAACACACGGTGAACACACACACACGGTGAACACACACACACGGTGAACACACGGTGAACACACACACACACGGTGAACACACACACACGGTGAACACACACACGGTGAACACACACACGGTGAACACACGGTGAACACACACACACGGTGAACACACACACGGTGAACACACACGGTGAACACACACAAACACACGGTGAACACACACACGGTGAACACACACGGTGAACACACACAAACACACGGTGAACACACACACGGTGAACACACACAAACACACGGTGAACACACACATACACACGGTGAACACACACACACACGGTGAACACACACACACGGTGAACACACACACGGTGAACACACACACACACGGTGAACACACGGTGAACACACACACACGGTGAACACACGGTGAACACACACGGTGAACACACACACGGTGAACACACACACACACACACGGTGAACACACACACACACGGTGAACACACGGTGAACACACACACACACACGGTGAACACACGGTGAACACACACACACACACGGTGAACACACGGTGAACACACACACACACACGGTGAACACACGGTGAACACACACACACGGTGAACACACATACACACGGTGAGCACATACACACACACGGTGAACACACACACACACGGTGAACACACACACACGGTGAACACACACACGGTGAACACACACGGTGAACACACACACACGGTGAACACACACACGGTGAACACACACACGGTGAACACACACACACGGTGAACACACACACACACACTGAGCACATACACACACACGGTGAACACACACACACACACGGTGAACACACACACACGGTGAACACACACACACACACGGTGAACACACACACACGGTGAACACACACACACACACGGTGAACACACACACACACGGTGAACACACACACACGGTGAACACACACACGGTGAACACACACACACACGGTGAACACACACACGGTGAACACACACACACGGTGAACACACACGGTGAACACACACACGGTGAACACACACACGGTGAACACACACACACGGTGAACACACACACACACGGTGAACACACACATACACACGGTGAGCACATACACACATGGTGAACACACACACACGGTGAACACCCACATACACACCCACACACACCCACACACGGTGAACACCCACACACACACACGGTGAACACACGCACACACACCCACACATACACGGTGAGCACCCACACGCAGCGCACACACACACACGGTGAACACCCGCACACACACACACGGTGAACACACGCACTCAGCGCACACACACATGGTGAACACACGCACAAACACACACACACGGTGAACACACACACACACACGGTGAACACACACACACACGGTGAACACACACACACGGTGAACACACACGGTGAACACACACACACACGGTGAACACACACGGTGAACACACACACACACGGTGAACACACACACACACGGTGAACACACACACGGTGAACACACACGGTGAACACACACACACGGTGAACACACACAGGGTGAACACACACACACGGTGAACACACACACACGGTGAACACACACATACACACGGTGAGCACATACACACACACGGTGAATACACACACGGTGAACACACACACGGTGAACACACACACACACGGTGAACACACACACACACACGGTGAACACACACACACGGTGAACACACACGGTGAACACACACACACACGGTGAACACACACACACGGTGAACACACACACACACGGTGAACACACACACACGGTGAACACACACACACACACGGTGAACACACACACACGGTGAACACACACGGTGAACACACACACACGGTGAACACACACAGTGAACACACACACACGGTGAACACACACACACACACGGTGAACACACACACACGGTGAACACACACGGTGAACACACACACACGGTGAACACACACACACGGTGAACACACACACATACACACGGTGAGCACCCACACACGGTGAACACACACACGGTGAACACCCACACACACACGTAGCGCACACCCACACACCCACACACACAGACGGTGAACAAACACACACACACATACACGGTGAGCACCCGCACGCAGCGCACACACAAACACACCCACACACACACCCACGTAGCGCACACACACACACAGTGAACACCCACACACACACACACACCCGCACACACACACACGGCGAACACACGCACACACACCCACACACACACGGTGAACACCCACACACACACACACGGTGAACACCCGCACGTAGCGCACACCCACACGCACACACCCACACACACACACACGGTGAGCACACACCCACACACACCCACGTAGTGCACACCCACACACACACACACGGTGAGCACACACACACACACCCACGTAGCGCCGCCCTGGCCGGGGGGGATCGCCTGGCACGTCGGGTTTTAATCCGAAGGGGCCCCTAGAGGGGAGGGTCCCGCGGTTTCCCGGCGGCAGCAGATTGGCCGACCCCTTGCCAGGACGGGCCGAGTAGCGGCGCCCCCCTCTGGATGAATGCCTCACGCGTTGAGTTACAAAACTCGCCACACTACTCACCACACTCCTCACCACACTCCTCACCACACTCCTCACCACACTTCTCACCACACTCCTCACCATGCTGCTCACCATGCTTCTCACCACACTGCTCACCACACTACTCACCACTCTACTCACCACACTATTCACCACTCTACTCACCACTCTACTCACCACACTGCTCACCACCCTACTCACCACCCTACTCACCACACTACTCACCACACTACTCACCACTCTGCTCACCACTCTACTCACCACTCTACTCACCACTCTACTCACCACCCTACTCACCACCCTACTCACAACCCTACTCACCACACTACTCACCACCCTACTCACCACACTACTCACCACACTACTCACCACACTACTCACCACCCTACTCACCACTCTACTCACCACACTCCTCACCACTCTA